CAGAATCTAATTTAATATTCCTGATAGATGAAGCAAGCTTAACATACTAAATTAACGAAGTCGTTCCATGCTTGAGGTTCTGGGGCCGGAGAGAAGCCAAGTGAGAAAGAGAGATGGAGGGCGACAGGTAGGGGAGCAGGGATGCGGCCAAGGTGTTTTCCTTATGCCCCTCACACCCCCAAGCCGAGGCGGGAGCCCCACCTCCCCGCCGACCTGTGTGCCAGGCAGGGCAGGACTAGAGCTCGTCATGGTCGCCCTCAGCAGGCGGTTCGGGCGGCGGCTCCGGGCAGGCGGCTGGCGTCATCAGCTCCATGTGGTACTCGCAGCGGCTGGGCTCCGTGGTGCTGGTCACCACTGTCTCCTTCCCGCACAGCAGGCGCACCTGGTGGGGAGGGCAGGCGGGGCTCAGGCGGGCTCAGTGGGCCTGGGTACCCCCGCCACCCCCGCCAGCCAGGCACTCACAGTGGTGGAGCGGTTAGGGCCCTGCCAGCAGCCCGTGCCCTGCTCGTACTTCATGGCGCTGAACTTGTCGTGGTCGGGGCCAGCCCACGAGCCCCAGGTGCTGTGGGAGATGGGGTGCTGAGGGGGGCCGGCTAGGGGGACCAGGTGCCAGGGGCCGAAGGAGGGGGACCCAACCCAAGCCCACTCACCCGAGGCTGGTGGGGGAGCCGCCGAGCTTGGGTTTCTGCGAGACAAGCTTGAAGGGGCAGAGCCGGTACACATACCTGTCATGGGAGGGGACTGGTGGGTGGGGGGACATAAGCCCCAACCCCCATGATGTCTCCACACACAGGGGCATACAGGTACCTCAAACTCCAGTGACTCCTCCTCAGGACCCCCCCTCGCTCCCCCACACCCTTGCTCAGGCCCAGGCCCTCCGACCCGCCCGCCCCGCCTGCCCACGGAGGACGCACTCATTGGTGGTGAGCTCGTAGCACTGGCTGTACAGGTAGGCAAACTCCCCGTTGGGGCCAAAATCAAAGGAAATCTCCTGCTCCAGGTTCCTAAAATGGGAGGCTGGAGGTGAAGGGGCAGCCAGGATGCCCCAGCCAGACTGAGCACAACACAGGAAGGCCTGCTCCAGCAGCAGCAGGCCCCTGGGGGCCTAGGCTCTGCTCCCCACTGCCTGGGGACCCTTTCTGCAGGAGCCGCCGCCACCTTGCCAGAGGTTGCCTGGGTGACTCCCCATTACCACCTCCTCTGGGGAGCCCGGGAGCAGGCATCTGGGCCCGGTGGAGATGTGGCCTTGCTGTAGCCGCACGCACACCCCCGCACCTGATGGACTCCTCCATGTCCTTCAAGGAACGCTCGGCCTCCTCAAACTTGTTGCGGGCCTCCTGGGCGGCTGGTGGGGTGGGGAAGGAGGTCAGAGGTGCCCATGCCCCAATCCAGGAAGAGGAGGAAGAGGATGCCCCAAACAGGCCTGCTTCCTCCAGCCCCCGGGCCTGCTCTGGGCGAGGGCTGGGCCCAGGAAGACCCTGGGGACCTCGCCAGCCCCAGGGCAGACCCCACCTCACTGCCCAGGCCCTCAGCTCCAGAGGGAGCAGGGCCAGGGCTCCTGGACCCATCTGGCTCCTCACCTGCCAGGAGTAGCACAAACAAGCCACAGCCTGTGAGGAGGCAGGAGGTCCCCTGGGGCTGGAGGGGGTGGTGCTGGCTTCCCCAGGCCCCAGATGCCCCGTCGAGGCCACCAAGTCCCCTGGGCTTGCTTGGGGCCAGCCCAAGCCTGTCTCAAGAGAGCAGGTAAGGCCTGCTTCTTGGGCCCCTGAAGGTGTAGGCAATGGGGGCGTCCCCTCCCTCCCAGGTTCAGCCCTCACCATCGATGAAGGCCTGTGTCTGCTCGTCGTAGGGCGGCATTTTGTCCTCCTCTGTGGGGCTGGCTGCTTGGGGGGGCACGGGTGGGGGCAGGGCCTCCGTGCAGGGGGGTGTACATTGTCAGCGAGTGACCCCGCCCCCACCCTATCACCCCCTTCTCCCCTAAACACACACCTTGGGCTGCTCCCCCTGCACCTGGGAATCCTCTTCCTCCTCTTCCTCCTCCTCCTCCTCCTCTGTCTCTTCTTCCTCCTCGTCCTCGTCCTCCTCCTCTGTGGGTGGTGAAGGCACCGGGGGCTGCTCTTCCTTAGGCTCCATCAAGTCGGGTACAGAAGGCGATGGCGGGTCAGTGGGCAGCACCTGGCAGATGTGCAAAGTGGTTGGTGTTGTGGACTCAGGGGTCTACCTGCCACCCCCAGGGCTTGGGTCCTGGCTCACACTACTGCCCGGGGGCAGCCTCAAGTCTCCACCCCTTTCGAGGAGCCAAGAGGGAGGGAGGGAGAGAAGGAGGAGGGACAGACGGCTGGGGGCAGGCAGGGCGGCCTCTGTGGAGAGTGGGGGGGTCGCCCAGCTGGTCAGCGTGGACCGATGCCAGAACTGGAGGCAGTTTCTTTGTGAGGCGTCAAGGGACGGGGTGAGGGGGCAGGACCTCCCAGCCCTCCCTGCCCCACTGACCTCGGACCGGTATTTGTCCCGGATGGCAGCCCATATACGGTCATAGAAGGAAGCAGCATCCGTCTGTGTGTCTCCCCCGAGGAGGGTCTGTGTGTGGATGTTGGGGTGGTGTGAGGATCAGGACGCCACATGCGCCGCCCCGCACCCCAGGCACTCTCGAGGGGGGCCTCAGGCTGTGGTGCCAGGCACAGCACGGCCTGACCGCCCAAGGCCAGGCTGGGGCCAGGCGGGGTGAGGCGTAGCAGCCAGGAGGGGGCAGCACAGGCTTGTGGGAAAGAGGAGGGGGCCGGAGAGGAGAGGGTGGGGACTAGAGAGACCAGGGAGGGAAAGTGAGACAACCAGACGCTGCCAGCCCCTAGGTGGGAGACACAGAGGGCAGGGTGGGACAGGGAGAGGGACCAGCAGGACAGAGATGGATGGGAGACCGGGAAGCAGGAGTCCAGACCTGTGAGGACAAAGAGCAAAAGGCCTGCCTGTGAGGAGGGCATATCCGGTACGTGCACATGGCGGGGGGGAGAGGGGGGCGGCAGGTGTAGGCAGGTGTGTGGGGAACTTGGCTTTATCTTGACCAGGTGCCAGGGGTACTTGTGTAACCCCACCAGGTCCCAAAGGGCAGGAAGCAGCAGCCCCGGGTGGCTGCCCTCCTGCTTACCCAGGCAAGGCCCGGCACATCGGCCACACCAGGTGCCCCAGCAGCCCTGGCCTGGGGCCAGCAGGGAACTTTCCATGGGACCAGGACCCTCGGGACCTGAGGTCACCCTGGGGCAATCCCCTCTAGGAGTCCCAGGAAAAGGGGTAGGGTGGGTACCTGGGCTTCCCCTTCTGAAAGTGCCCCATCTCCATCTGTGTCCAGCTCCGGGTGGGTCTGCAGCTCGGCCACCGAGACCCTTTAGGAGCACAAACAGAAGCCAAAGGAGGGGTGAGGCCCACTGGCTCGCAGCCAGCTGCCTGCCTCCCCTGCCAGGGCCCCTCCTGAGAACTCGCTTCAGGACCTTGGGGCAGGGAGGGGTGGGCAGCAGGAAGCTGGGAAAAGATGAGGTCTGGGGATGGGCCCCGCCTCTGACCCCTGTGTCCAGGAGGAGCAGGTCCCAGGTACCCAGTCCCTGCCTCCTACCCCCTCCTGAGGGGCTCAAGGAAGGGACAGACTCAGGGGTGGGATTAGGAGACATCTGGACCCCCTGGGTCCCTCAAGACCGCTCTCCTGAGCAACTCAGCTTCCACTTCCTTCCATCCTTAGAACCCAGAACAGTGAAACTGCCCTCGGCCTGGCTCCCTCCACCCAGCGAAGCCCAAATACCCACGACAGCCTGGGCACCACCTCCTGTCCCCCTGCCTGCCACCGTCACCAAACAGGGAACAGACCAACCTGTAAATTCTGCCCACTTCGGTCCCTCTGAAGCCCCTTGCTCCTCGATGCCCCACACCTCCCACTAAGGGGCCTGCCCAGCCCCCTCGTTCCCGACAGCCCACCCTGCACTGAGCCTGGGCTCAGCCGCAAGTTCAGGACACAGGTGGGTTCTGACTTTCACCAAAGCGACCCAGGCCCTGGAGTAGGCTTGCCAAAAGCCCAGCTCTCGCAGGGATGGTTCCCCTCATCTCCTCCCCCCGGAGCTGCTCTAGACCCATTGTATCCAAGAGTAAGCAGCACCTTGTTCAGAGAGGGCTTGGGATCAGCTCAGGCCCCAGGGTGAGGAGGTGGGCTGTGGCTGATTTCTAAACGCAGGGAGTGGGAAGAGGGACCCCAGGGCAGGCCGCGCAGGCACTCACGCCCCATCCATGTCATCGTCCAGCTCCTGGAAGGCACTGGCAGCCAGCTCCTGCTCCCGCTGGGCCTTGGAGGCAGCTTGCTGTTCTGTGGAGGGGCCAGCTCCATCACCCTCCGCCCACCCCCAAATCTGCCCTCACTGTGTGCCCAGCCCTACACTGGGCCCTGGGGCCCAGTCAGGCCACTGTGTGGGGCAAACTGGGGCCAAGAGACAGGCGAGGGGGTTGGTAAGAAGTGCCAGATTTGGAGAGATCCTAAAGGGACAGCTGACAGGGTGTACACGACTTTGGGTTTGTATGACTGGTGACTGTGTAAGGGGAGGCGGGGGACCATGCATTAGGTTTGCCATGTCCAGGAGGCCCCCAGGTGAAGAGGTCAAGCATGAAGGAGGTCAGGGTGGGGGAGTGGCCTGAAGGGGGATAGCCTGGGGCCCAGGGGAGTGTCTCGGGAGAAGGGAAGGCCACCGCACAGAAGGAAACTGAGCCATGGCCAGTGGACGCAGGGCTGCAGCTGCGTGTCTGCTCCAGTGGTCCCTCCCTGGCCTTCCTGGTCCCCACCTGGCCCAGGTGGGGTTCAGGAAAGCAGTCATGGTGCAGCTCCACCACAAAGCTCGGCCCTCTACAACAGGACGAGTAGTCTGTATCCCAGGAGATCCCACAAGACTTCAGCAGGCCAGGCGACACCATCCTCCTCACAGGTGAGGGCCTGAGGCTCAGGTGTTTGAAGGGACCTGCCCTCGGTCAGCCAGCTGGTGAGGGGCAGAGCCAGGGCCCCAGCCAGGCTGTCCGCCTCCAGAGCCCACGCGCCTCCCTGCTCCTCCCTGGGGATCTAGGTCAGATCCTGGTGTCCTACCCCTGAACCTGATTCAGCAACTCCACCCTGAGAACTCGAGCTACAAG